TCAACGAGTGGCGAGTTGCTCGGCTACAGCAAGCTATAGGGAGGGAGTTGCAAGGTCATTCAATAGCACATGACGTATTCACTCAAATGCAGAAGAACGATGAAAAATCAAGTAAGCATAAGGTTGTTTTTTTAACCGCAGTGAAGGAATATTCGCTGTCGAAACAGGTATATGGGGTGGACGGAGACGTGGTCACAATCGTCAATTGGTTAAATTGCACTACGAATTAGGGGAGTGTTCTTGTCAAAAGTATCAGAACGAAAGGATACCCTGTTCACATGCAATGGCGTTTGCTAAGTCAATAACCATGAACAGAAACAGCCTGGTGAGTCCTTACTACACTGAACAAGCGATACGGAACTCATATAATGCAGCTTTGAGCCCCATGCCAGATGAAGCGTATTGGCCTATATACGCTGGAAAGTTGATTATCCCACCGTTGCATCTAAAACGCACCAAAGGCCGTCCTAGAGTTGAAAGGATACACAATGAGATGGATCAAGTTGAACGGACGAGAAGGGGACCGAAGCGATGCTCTAAGTGCAGACAACCTGGTCACGACAAGAGGCGTTGCCCAGGACAACCATTAACTTAATTTGCATTTACTTGTATCCTGCTACTAAATTGGTCGCTTGTTTAAATTTTCATGGGTGCTTGCATTTGAAGTCCAAGTATTTTGTTAACTCTAAAATGTTCTCCTTGTCGATACGATCGCGCTCCCAGATGTTGATGTAGAATCCATGCTTTAACTGCCAGTTCTTTGCAGTGTGTCGGAGGTCCATATGATGTAGCTCCCTGAAACCTACTAGCGGGTCTTGTGGAATCGGTTGCTCCATTCGATATTGCCTCAGGGATCGATCGGGTAGGTGCCATTCCACCATGTGCCAGCAGATCAATGGCACCTTGCACAACCAAGTCTCGTGATCCAGAGGGTGCCTAAGATGATGCAGCTCAACCACTTCACATGGATATGGATCCCATATAACCTATATTCATTCAAAAATTCGGAATTAAAGACTATTTACATTGACAAAATTTAACTTTTCAAATATGGACAAAACATGATTACCTGATTCCACCATGGTTTATCTAACTCAGCACGATAAAACAGTAACGAATGCTCAGGTTGATGGTCATTCGTATTTGCTCCTATCCACCTTGTAAGTAAAAGTACGGAATCAATTTAATTGAAATATAGCTAAGCATATAATAAATTAAATTGGTCTAAGTACAGAATAAATTCAATTTAAATCTAGCTAAGCATGTAATCAAATTTAAATTCGGCTAAGTACGGAATAAATTCAATTTAAATCTAGCTCAAGCATGTAATAAAATTTAAATTGGGCTAAGTACGAAATAAACTTACTTGACACCGTAGGGGAGATTTTGTAGAAAGTTGAGCTCATCATCGTTTCTCCGATATGGAAGTGGGTCGAGAGGTGCGAACATTGGAAGATGCTCCCATACCCACAGTTGTAGGATGAACATCGCAGCACCAGCTTGCTTTGCCCCAACCTTCGAGCAAGTACACAGCTCCCGGTATACGCCCGCTTGCACGGCCGATCCCAACTCTTTTGCCCGATTGCATCCCAGTCACCTGTGAGCATATCCAACCATATGCCTTGAATCCACCGGTTGGACTTGTCGGGGAACAAAAATCCACCCACCAAACCGATGAGGTAGATGCGGGCGTAGCGCTCGACTTGTTCTTCCGATGTCTCGTCATTGATTTCCACCTCTTGCTGGATGTGAGATACCAGCCACGGGACCGACACTTGGCCCGCATTCAACGGTGGATGCCCCCGTCCTTGAATTGGAGTGGTGGTCGGCATGTCAAAGCCCAAACGATCACGTATGAGCGGCCCCCAACCTCCTTCGGGTTTGGTCGTGGGACCAATGATGGCATCCCCAGAAATAGGCATCCCGGTGAGGATCACCACGTCTTTGAGGGTGATCGTCATTTCCCCCTCCGGAAGGTGGAACGTATGGGTTTCGGGACGCCATTGTTCCGCCATTGCCGTAAGCAGATCGTTGTCGATTTCGATCCGCAAGAAATGGCGCAACATTCCCAAACCTGTCCTCGCTATATAGGGCTCCAACCTTGGATGCCAAGCGGGCAAGTTATTGGTCCCTTTATGAACCACGGGAACAAGCGATTCCTAAAAAAAATAGGGAAAACAACAATTTATTAGATTAAATAAAGCAAAATAAAACCTTAGAAAATAATAAAATAAAGCAAGAATACTCAAAAAAATTGCCGGATTGTTATCCCAAATAGCACGGGAGCGATGAGCTTCTTGATCGGTTAAGAGACTCGCATCCCTTGGGCCATAATGGATATACAATCGAGGATTGTATATCTCGGAACCCATCTATAAAAAAGTAATGAAATCAGAGATTGTTTTGATAAAAAAAAACACAAAATCAAATTGTTTCGATTAAAAAAATCATAAACCAAAAACCTACACGAAGAGCCTCTTCGTCCATTTTTTGGCGTAGGCCGGACAGAGGTTCGATGAGTTTAGGTTTGTAAGGGACGGGAACTTAGCGGGACGGGGGCTTTAGGGTCAAACTCTAGTAATTCTTTCTGATGTGGAAGATCGGACTTAGCCGCAACCACAGAGCATACTTAGAACGAGACTAGAGCGGATAAATTGAGGGAGAAAGAAGTGAAATTGTTGTGGGGTGAGTTGTAAGTTGGAGGGGAAGGGGAATTTATAGTTGGGGGAAGGGGGGGGGGGGGGGGGGGGGGGGAGGAACTGCGCAGCAGTTATTAGGGGAGCATTCACCGTCTTTGATAGACGCGGTGAATGCCTCGCGTTTCCCAAACACGGTTCCTCTCGAGTCGACGTGGCGTGTTGTGAGGCGTCGGATCGTGGGAAGAAAACCACGATCCGCGCCTCACCGCATCTAACGGCCACGGTGAAAGCACAATGGCGCGGATCGCTGACGTAAACAAACACGGGGTATTCACCGTGTTTGTCTAACGCGGTGAATACCCCGCGTCTGTCCACGTCAGCAACTTCACCGTGGTCCATTAAAACGGTGAAAGCCTCACCGTTTTTGATTTAAACGGTGATGACTTCACTGTCTCAGTTTAAAACGGTGATGCATTCACCGTTTTAGACTAAGACGGTGAATACGTCACCGTTTTTTTTTAAAACGGTGAAATTTTCACCGTGTTTATGAAACGCGGTGATACACTTCACCGCCTTTGTCAGAAAACGGTGATGCTCAAACATGTGTCTTTTGGAAATTTGTTTATAACTTATGTATTTTGGGAATTTTTTTTAATAACTAGTGTACTTTGGGATTTTTTCCAGATAGTAACATGCTTGGTTAGTATCCATAAATAATTGTTGCTATTAATTTTAAAGGGTTGTATTTTTTTTAGTTTTAAGTTGTAATTCAAAAATTTTGCACCTATACTTGAGTGGTATATTTGAAGCATGAATTTTTAACTAAAAATTTGTAAATCACAATGGATCATGCTGAACTCGTTCCTTATTGTAATTTTTCTATCGATTATAGTAAGTTACTTATTAGCTTTTAAATTTTAATCGAAGCGGATTTAAAAAGAGCAAAACAAATCTAAATTGTTGATAGTAGCCGATAACAAGAATTAAATACTTCAGTTTTCAATTAACCAAAACGATCGAACCCGAAGTGAGAGCCATAGTCCTACGCCTAAGTCATCAGGGCAATCAAGCAACATCAAAATCTCTTCCTACTAATATTATATATGGTGTCCAAAGACCGTCAACCTTACCATGTTCATTGGGACTCTTTCGTTTCATTTATTCTCAAGGGTCCGTGACAACAATCAACTCTCTCTGATCTCACAGTTGGATTTTTACCTAGTTCAATTAGGGGAGCATTCACCGTCTTTGATAGACGCGGTGAATGCCTCGCGTTTCCCAAACACGGTTCCTCTCGAGTCGACGTGGCGTGTTGTGAGGCGTCGGATCGTGGGAAGAAAACCACGATCCGCGCCTCACCGCATCTAACGGCCACGGTGAAAGCACAATGGCGCGGATCGCTGACGTAAACAAACACGGGGTATTCACCGTGTTTGTCTAACGCGGTGAATACCCCGCGTCTGTCCACGTCAGCAACTTCACCGTGGTCCATTAAAACGGTGAAGGCCTCACCGTTTTTGATTTAAACGGTGATGACTTCACTGTCTCAGTTTAAAACGGTGATGCATTCACCGTTTTAGACTAAGACGGTGAATACGTCACCGTTTTTTTTTAAAACGGTGAAATTTTCACCGTGTTTATGAAACGCGGTGATACACTTCACCGCCTTTGTCAGAAAACGGTGATGCTCAAACATGTGTCTTTTGGAAATTTGTTTATAACTTATGTATTTTGGGAATTTTTTTTAATAACTAGTGTACTTTGGGATTTTTTCCAGATAGTAACATGCTTGGTTAGTATCCATAAATAATTGTTGCTATTAATTTTAAAGGGTTGTATTTTTTTTAGTTTTAAGTTGTAATTCAAAAATTTTGCACCTATACTTGAGTGGTATATTTGAAGCATGAATTTTTAACTAAAAATTTGTAAATCACAATGGATCATGCTGAACTCGTTCCTTATTGTAATTTTTCTATCGATTATAGTAAGTTACTTATTAGCTTTTAAATTTTAATCGAAGCGGATTTAAAAAGAGCAAAACAAATCTAAATTGTTGATAGTAGCCGATAACAAGAATTAAATACTTCAGTTTTCAATTAACCAAAACGATCGAACCCGAAGTGAGAGCCATAGTCCTACGCCTAAGTCATCAGGGCAATCAAGCAACATCAAAATCTCTTCCTACTAATATTATATATGGTGTCCAAAGACCGTCAACCTTACCATGTTCATTGGGACTCTTTTGTTTCATTTATTCTCAAGGGTCCGTGACAACAATCAACTCTCTCTGATCTCACAGTTGGATTTTTACCTAGTTCAATTGGGGATAGGTAAACAAAAATGTTCAACTGACAAAAAAAGGGCCATAAGGAACTGAGGTCACAATGGAATTCACTAGCACAATTGCAAATCTCCAATGTCACGAATTGTCGCTGGACAACAAGACTACTATAAAAGTTGATACAAAAACCCAACCACAGATGGAGAGCTCTCGTATACTTTTGTTTTTGTAGAGTTTCAAGCTGCAACATTAAGGAAATGGCTGCTATGTAGCTACACTGTTCCTGTATCTCTGGCTCTATCAGCACAGTTCAAAACGCAGTATCAAGATAAAAAAATGGCGACATCACTCATGATTCCGTGATTTCTCCATCTTTGGTTTGCGTTCGAAATGTAGTCTTCTCCATGTATTCCTGTTCGATAGTTTCTTGTAGGATCAGCAACCTCTGCATCACAACCGGTTGACTAAGCTGTTTTGCTTCTGCAATACCTGTGTCATCCTTACTCAAATTATAAGCATCAATCATGATCTTGATCCACTTGTGCAGCTCCTTGGGACTTCTGCTCAAAGTAATAAGAAGGCAGCATGGTGAATGTTTACTGAGGCAATTGCCTGAAAGATCAATGTAGTTTCCCAGAGTGGAGATGCTTTCTTACGTGTATAAGGCATATGGCTCTTTGGCTTCATGATCGTCACCAGGACAGAAAGCTGTTGCCAATGCTGAAAATCGCTCTTCCGGATCTGTGATGTTCAGTAAATGCTTGAGCAGCTTTATTTCTTTAGGTGCAATGCTTCTGAGACTGCTCTTGGTAGTCTTGTATATTTGGTACATTATTTCTTTCACCTGAGAATTAGAAATTAGGAATATTTGGGACCAACAAACCGAAGGCCACTGGCCACAATGAAATCATCACTACTCTCCGTGCAAATTTGTTCTTCATTTTTAGGTTCCGAAAATGGAGACCTCACTTCGATTTCATATTTACTCGGGTACCAATAGTAGGTGATTTTCACTCACGGTCAATTTAAACCAGCTGATGCACCATTATAGTATGGCTGCCATACTGGCAACAAGAGTGTTAACAAGGTGAAGAACTATGCATATAGACTTGGTTTCTATCCACTCTAACCATGCAATCAGACAAAAAATTGACAGCCAACCAAAAACCCATGCACTGCAATGATATTTGCCCACCTGAGGCCTCAAGCATACCTCATTTTTCATATTAGTGGACTCTTTTGCTGCTGCCCATGTGCTGTTTATCAATAAAACCAAGGATGAGTCAAGTTCCTTCGCCTTGGCTAGGCTTTTTATCTTTTCACATGCGGCATCAATGGTTGGTGAATTTAGTATGTCATCAAATTTGGTCTGGGCAGATTCTAATGTCTCCAGATTCTCCAGTGTACTATCGAACGCATTAACAGCAGACAAGCACCGAGCTCCAAGTCTTGCTATATCTGCTCAAAAAAAGGTAGCAGCCAATTTCAGATATCTGGATCTGGTGCACGAGGAGGGCTACGAAAACTAGTCATGCCTTCTGCATTCTTTTTCCAAGAAGGGTACAATGAGAACCAACATGTAATCAAGTACAACTAATTAAACTATTCCAGAATGTGAAAGATCATTTTTATGCTTTCCCTGCTAGTTGTTTATTATTGACCCTTTGTATTGTCCATCTAATTAAACTATTCCAGTGAAGTTTTAATTCCTGACGTCTGAATCAAACTTCAACAAACACCTTGTATGAGAATAGTTGCATCACTAAACTCGGGTAACAGAATCCCATCATCTCAAAAGCCAATGCAATATAAACATGCACAAGTAGTTTGATCTATGCAGAATAGGGTGATTCAATTTGGCATCTTCCAACTGAGCGTCCAGACATCTTTCATCACTTTATCTTAAAGGCGTTACGAGAATATGCTTGAGATTGCTTGAGATTTGAGATATGCTGCTTTATTTAACTCATGAACTTTAAGTGCAGTTGACCAAGTACTATGTCAACAGGTTCTAGTAGCAGGCAATAGACAATGCACCAAGGCTATACAGCACAAGGTGAAACTAGTACTACATCAAATTTCTGCTATAATTGACCAATGCAGCATATATCTATTCGGGGAAAAAAGGAACTTACCATCACGGTCCTCCAGACCATCGTAGGTTTCTGAAAGAAGGCCAAGGTGGCGAAAAAATTCCCCAGTGAAGTCCTTGCGCCGCTTTGCAACTATTACATTCAGGTCAGTTGGGTTGTCCCGGATCTCCTTAAGAAGTTCATTGTGCTTCTCCATCTCATCATCAATCTGCAATTCTCATTCCTGAGTACACAGAACATAGGAAGTTCTAAACGCGAAGAGGATGTATCTCAATACTTTTAACCTCCCAATTTAATGCAAAATGCAACACCCAGGAAACCAATCGAAGAGTTCCATGACTAAAATGCATCATTATCTGGTCCTAAACCCAATTTCAATCAGGTGACATTTGACTTCTGTCAATATAAAGCCAATCCTAAACTTAATCTTCAACACCAAAAAGTTCCGTTTCCCTGGATGAGAACAGAGAAGCCAAGCAGTTGGAAGCTATTTACTCATAACCTTACCTTCTTCACCTTGGATGCTAGTGAAATTAACTTCTGTTTCAGAGCAGGATCAGTCTCCATGCTGGCCCTCATTTGGCACCTGCTATAGAATCTATCCTTGTACTTATTCCATTCTTCCCTAAACACCAGGTATTTCCTCCATTCTTTCGCTCTCCGCTTCTCGTTCAAGAAAACATCTATCATCTTATCGCAGAACTGAGTCATCGTGTAACCACCAGCAACTTCCATCTCAGCTATTTGCTCTTCCACTGGGGCATTCGCCACTTCACTTGCTTTGCAACCTGAAAGACATAAACCAGAAACGGGAACAAAATATTGACCCAGATACCAAAAAGACGTCAAATGTCCACTATCGATCGCTCCATTCACGAAATTGGATACTTACAAAAGTCGAAGCCGTGCCGACTTCTCGTGCTCCTGGTGTGCAGTTTCTCGGGCGAAGAATTCATTGAAAGGGAAGGAGAGGTTGAAGACGGGAAATAATATAGGGTCGATGGGTGTAGCGAGCCATTGAACGAGCAGAAACCGGCGGTGGTAGAGACGGTGCTAAGAAGCAACGTTTTGGTGGTTGGGTTTGGAAGGTCTGATGTAATGAAGGTGAAATTGGCCATGGCGGTGTCTGCTGCTTAGCAATTTCACTCCAAGGAAGAGGAAGGTTATACAGTTGCAGATAATGAGCAAAGTAGAGAGTGTGTATGTCTTGTGTATTGTGTATGTGTAGTCTGTCAAGCCAACCTTCCCTAGACCCAAATGCTCATAGTCATGAGCAAAGTGGATAATTTATTAATTTACGATTGAGAATAAAGGGTTGGTTTGCTTTGCGGATTCAATTCAACGTGAATTTATAGGAAATTCATTATTTACTTGTATTTTTTAGGAATTAAATATATTATTCCATGAATTTTAAGGGTCAAAATTCGTGGACCTTATGAATTTGTAAATCTCAAATATTGGTTTGAGATTTGAAACATGTTATCGATCCATGATGAGATTTTATCCATATACATTTACAAATCGTTTAGTACCAAATGAATCAAGAATTCATTTTATTGTAAAATGAATTACCGTGTAGAATTCATTGTCAAATGAAATCCTATGTTTGGTATGTTATATTCAAATCTTTAGAAATAAAATGAAGTATCGTGTAGAATTTATTGTCAAATGAATACTTGTGTTTGGTATGTCATATGTATAACTAATTTAGTTAATAAAAGAGGATAATCATGTCATAGTTATATAATTAGTAAATACTTGTGGAATTCATTTGGAAATTTCATCTCAATTCCAAGGAATTGCTATAACTAGTTCCAATTCCGTAGAATTCAAATTTAGAATTGAAAATGAATTCCTTTTAATACCAAACACAAAAATATTTCATTTCAAAATGAATTCTTCAAAACTTATAGAATTCATTTATACCAAACGGTACGTTATGAACTTTTGATATTCCAACCAAGGTTGTCCTCACCTTTAGCTATTGTACATTATAATTAATTAATTAATTAATTAATTAACAACAAATAAATAATATAAATTTTTAATTAATGTGCAAACATGAGTTAGATTTTCTATGCTCTTTCTTGTGTTCTAATTTTCTTCGTTCTTTTTATGGAACGTGGAATTCTTTGTTATCTCTTGTCCTAATATATGTTGTTATATGTTGCTTTTGAGCTGGAGGACAAGAAATTGGTAACTGATATATGTTATGTTAAAGTTCAACAAATTTTCCGTGTTTATTACTATTGTTCACGTGGCAACATTATGCTCACGCAGATATGCCCCCTACACTTTCAACGTCACTCTACAAGTCATGGACATCAAACCGACTTATTCTTAGTATTGTCCTTCTTTGTTTATATATCATAAACATGAAAAAAATAGAAAAGATTAGTAAGGTAATCTTTGAATCCATGATCAAAACATCTCAACAAACATAGAATTGTTTCAAATGCATAATATCTCAAATCCCTAATAAATCCTTAGATTTTAGGGATTTTTCCAGAAATGACACCTTTAAAAAAATTACAAAAATAGCACCCAGTCCACAGAAATTACAAAAATACCACACTTTTTTAAAAACCGCACCCCCTGGTGCGTTTTGTATGTAAACCGCACCTTGGAGGTGCGGTTTAGCATTCTGGGCCAAAACCGCATCTTGGCCATGCGGTTTGTGTGTCTGACCTAACCAAACCGCATGGCCTAGGTGCGGTCTTGTGCTGACCTAGCAAAACCGCACTTTGGGGATGCAGTTTTGCTTCTCCAAAACAAACCGCACCCTCAAAGTGCGGTTTTGGCAACACAAACCGCACCCCCCCCCCCCCCGCCCCAATGCGGTTTGTGTGTCAATTATTTTCCGACACCAAACACATAGCCATGCAGATTGACAGACGTGGGGCTGCATGGCAGATGAAAACCGTACCTCTAAGGTGCGGTTTTCATTGATGATTTTACCTATAAAAGACAGCCCGGGAAACCTCTTCTCTTCACACCTCTCCTTCTCCCTTTTCAATATTCTGTTATAGCTCCCTACTTCTCTATTGTTTTTGCGATTAACGTTAACTCGTAAGTTTATTTGCTATTACTTTTTATTGTGAATTATGAATTGTGATTTTTATGATATTAGTTGAACTATTTTTTTTTTTTTTTTGCAGATGGCATTCCCAAAGTTCACGCTTGAGTTACAATGGAATGGTTACACGGAAGAGAGCGGAAAGGGGGTCACCTACGTCGATGACAATTTTCAGAAAATAAAGGTCGCTACCTGACCGATGCGGTGATGAGTTGGCGATCGACTTTTATGCTTACAAAGTGCCTAATCGAATCCAACAGTGCCCTTTTGAGAAAGGGCAAAATAACTGGGTTCCATGGGAGCACATTGGTTGTACCCCTGTAGCAGAGTATTTGTTGTGCATCCTAGCAAAAATTTCAACGTTATTTATGATATATTAGTAACAGTTTAGTCTTATAACTAAATTAATTAAAATTAATGATTTAATTTCGCCCATAATTCTATTATAATTATATTATTAACAATCAAATTTATGTAATTAATGGTTTTTTTAAGATATATACATATTATCATAAAACAAACATACTAAATTAATTGACATAAATAACATTATAAATGAATAATAATTTAAAGAGATACATACATATTCAAACATTTGAAATTAATAAAATTCATTTAAGTACACATAAACATAAATCATATTGGTTGTTTGGTAAAGTAATTTAATCGTATTGGTTATTTTAAATAATTTAATCAAATACAATGCAACACTCGTTAGACTCTTAGAAGAGGTATACATCTTTTTAGAAACGCAGCCTTTTTTATAGAAAAAGGGCGGATCCGAGGATCTCTTAATACCCGATTTTCCTAGGAAATGTGAGGATCATGATAATCGCTTAAAACCCCATTTCCTTAGAAGTGCATCTCTTTATAAAGAGTCGAAGTAAGTGGCGCTATGTATTCGATTAAATTATTGAAAACAACCAATACGATTAAATTATTTCAAATTTTTTTTTTATATTCCACTAAGTACATTATCAAAATAAAAGAAAGACAAATGATGCATAATTGTATGTACCTGGTGATCGTTCCAAACATCCCTTGAACGATGGTTGAGTTGGTCGTACAAGTCGGTTGAATCAATAGGTCCTTGATCCAAATAATAGCGTTGGTTGTATATATTCACGTCGTCCCCAACCTAAGAGAGAATAACAACAAGGTTAGTACATAGATTAATTAAAAAGCTTATAACAAAAACAAAATTTGACCAGAATAATGAGTACATACCGCTTGAAATTCATCATAATAAACTCCCTCTCCTTGGAACCACTCATCCATTTTTCCGCGACAAGTCAGACAGAAATTCGGCGGGTTTTGAGGGGAAAACCAAATAAATGTTTTCTGATGGCAGATCGGATTTAGCCGCAACCAACATACCACTATTTCTTAGACTTTTGGGAGGGGAGAGGTTAGGGAGATAATTTTAGAGAGAGAGTGAAGAATGGGTTGTGGTGTTAAGAAATGAGAGGCGGGAGGGGGTATTTATACTCTTCAGACCTCACCCTTCAGGGGCGGTCTGGTAGTTTTGGCCTCCTTGAAACCGCTCCCTTCTAATGCGGTTCACTTTTTCAGAGGCGCTGACCGCACCCTACAGCAGCGGTCTGCGATCCATGGTGCGGATCGCTGAGGTGGCGTGCTGTTTTTCGTTGGATCGCCACCTCATCCAACGGTCTTGAAGACCGTTCCGCTGAAAACACAGACCGCACCTTCCTGGTACGGTTCCTAGTCTGACGTGGTGCAAAACGAACCTCCAAGGTGCGGTTTGCTAAAAAAGGTGCTAGTTTTGTAAATTTTGTGGGCTGGATGCTATTTTTGTAAATTTTTTTAATAGGTGCTATTATTGGAAAAATCCCTTAGATTTTAAATCACAAAATCCTCTTTTTTAAATTCAAGAAACATACAACCCCTAAGGGGAGGGGAGTAAAAACTAAGAACTAATACGAGTTAAATGAATGGCTACCACTTAAGTATAGTTTGTTGCACTTTCATAACCCTGAGTTTTGTTGTAACTAAAACATCTGAATAGTTAAAGGTCGTCCTAAAAATTATGAATAATTGTCCTAACTTAATACACAATTTACCAAATTGCCCGTTTTAGTTTTCAACAGAAACACAAAACAAGCACCCCCTTCCTTTCCCTTTCCAGAACCGTACCCATCCCTCCTCTCTACCGACTGGCAGCCCTCTCTGCCGACCGGCAGCTGCCACTGCCACTGCCGCCAACTCCTTCTCCTTCCTTCGGCGCTGCCAACAACCACCGTCCAACTTGCCTGGTTGGAGCAACCTTCCGCCGCCCTCTTTCCATCGGCGCCGCCAGCTGGTGTCACCAGCAGACGACATCAACCTTTCGCCCGCAACCTTCCGCCCACCTTCTCCTTCCTTTGTTGTCCTCCTTGCTGTCGCCAGCAAACACCAGCAACGGCCATCCTCTGAGCCGCCGTCACTTGGTCACCAAAAGCCAAAGGCAAGGCTTTTCGCAGCAACCAACTGCAAACGGCGACCATTCGTATCGCCGGCTAGACAAGGACGACGATCATTTGACCTGCGGTCAAACCGTGATCAACAACCGATTGGGCCACGATAAGAGATCGGTCAACTTTTAGTTGACCCATGGTCAAACCTCGATCAACTTTTGGTTGGTTTAATTTTTAAATGATCTTTCTGCAATTAATTAATAAAAACTATTATTAAATCTTCTAAATTAAGTAATAATTTTTAAATAAATTATAGTTAATTATAAATAAGTTGTGCAATTTATAATTAATTATATCTAATTATACCCTAATTATTTTTTGCTTTCAATTATATATATAATATTATGATTAATGTTAAACATTATTATAAATTATCTGAAATTTTTTAAAAAGTATTCAAATTTAGAAAATATAATTTGTTAATATGTAACTATTTTTAAAAAGTATTAGAAATTATGAAAAAATAGTCGTCGAATTATGAAAATTGTAAATAATGTTTATAAATTATCAAAACATTATCTAGAAATTTTAAATGATGTTAAAAATTATAGAAAATGATATGAAATTGTAAATAATGATCTAAAATATTCTTCAAAATTCAAAGAGTATCATAAATTTAAAAAGTTGAAAGTAGCCAAAATTAGAAAAAATTACTAAAATAATTATAATTAATGTAAATAAATTATCAAAATTAATTAGAGAAAATTATAGATAATTTTGATGTGTTTGATTATCATTAATCGTAATTCATTTTTTTAAAGATGTCTTGACATGGAATAGGCAAACCGTATATGAATAAGAAAAGAATGAAAGAAAAAACGTAAGGAAAATGGAAGGTCGTGTTTGTAGAATTAGAGCGATTGGTCGAAAAGAAAATGAAGAAAAAAATACACGTAAGGTTAGGGGAAGAAGAAGGTGGAAGTAGTGAGTCTCGACGGTCGCCCTACTATGGGACAATTATCTCTTAGTCGAGGTACTACCGCCACCCCTACACCTGAGGATGCGACGTCATGGGAGCCTAATTGGAGTATTTCAATTTCTTTAGACGACGACGATGATGATGTAGATGTTGATGAGGTTTTCCATGTCCCACTCGAACCTGATGTAGGCATGGAGAAGGAGACACGAGTTGGGACATCTTCTACTGCTTCTTCACACTTTCCACAGCGTGGGCCAGATGGACGCTACGTTGCGAGAGTAGTAGTGAGGAAGACGATGATGGTAAGAAGAGGAAGAAGACACCAAGGGGAAATATGTCGTGGCATCTGGCATTTGAGTCTAAGATGTGTTCGGGTGGACCAGTGATTCCCGATGTGATCCCTAGCTTTGGAGGTCACATTGCCCTTGTATTGTGGACTTCCCTTGAGCAGAATTGTGGGTTGTTGGACTGCTTCCATAGATCTGGTGGTGTGGAGTCTTTGAGGCGATATGAGTGGAGTTCAAAGGGTTCTCATGAGGTGGTTCAGGGCACAAGATTGTCCCACTTGGCACTTGGCAGGGTGCATGATGCATCATTTAAATACAACTCTGATATCAGCATTTTTAGAGAGGTGGCAGCCAGACACGAAAACCTTCCACATGCTATTTGGAGAGATGTCGATTCTTCTCCACGACGTGCATCACTTTCTTCGTATTCCATTTGAAGGGGGATCTGATGAGAGATGACCCGCATCCAGATGTTCTTAAGTTAGACATGCATGATCTACTTTAGGTCTCGATGGATGGTCTTGTTGGTGGTAAGTGGAATTCCAAGTGGTTCCATAATGGTGGTATATGGCAGAGGGATTGTTGGTTCATAGAGGAGAGATTAAGATTAGGGAGTTGGAGGTGCAGTGTCACTTGTTTATGTTGCTGGGATCCACACTTTTTATGGATAAGAGCTGCGATCACCTCCGTCCTGCGATCAACTTATATTTGAAGGACCAGCGACGAGTGACTGGTTACACCCGAGGAGTTGCTGCACTCGCCTATCTCTATAAATAGCTTGGAATGTCCATACGAGCGGGGAGTAAGGGTATTTGTGGTTGTTTGACTCTGCTTCAAGTTTGGATATATGACTACTTTCCACTCTTCCTTCCGAGCCAGATACTTCAGACTCCGGATGCTCCTCGTGGGTGTGTCATCGCTTTGCATTATCCAAATGTCGCACTTGGTTTGTATAACATGTGGCCCACATGTGCCTGTTAGGTAACCACTCAGCTGACAAGTACCTCCAAAGTCGTCGATACTGTACTCTGCAACTACGCCTAAAATTGTCCAATGTTGTATTCATGTCTTCTTCTGTTAAGGCATATACAACCCTTTTCCAAGACACTATGATCACATCCACCGTCAGTTTGGTTGCATCTATCCCACAATGAGATTTCCTCCTCACCTCCGTTAGACTCCTCGCTCTCACATTCCAGTCTACATGCCAAAGGCATAATATATGAGTCGATGATGGAAACATTAACCCCACGGTCTCAACCAATCCTCATGCTTTGTCACTTACAAACACATATGGAGTGATAGAGCCAAGCAAATGTTGCAAATGCGTGAGAAGCCACTGGTACGACTCTTTTGTATCGTCATACACTAGTGCAGATGCAATGACAAGGTTCAATCCCACTAGTGTCATGCCAACAATCTCAACCCCATGGCAACTCATACTTGTTGGTCTTGTATGCATCTATCAGGATGACATGGTTCCAATATCGCAACATCAATAATGACTCAGGGTGGGCTAGTAACAAGTGTGTATGCACATTGCGGTCATCCACATACTGCACAAAGTAACCCTTCTCCCGAGCATCTTGAAAAGTGTACTGTCAGGCTATCATCTGACCAAGCTCTTCTTTTCTTATATAATGCATTATAAATATGTCTTCTATTGACCTTTCCATGATCCCCTTTTCTCTCCTTCACTGCCTCGTGGATATTCCTTGGGCGACACTAGCCAATCTCAGCTATCGGATGTATTCCTTATCATCTGCAGTCAAAGGATTCCTCTTACTTGATCCATCCGGAAATAGCTCAAGCCGATGATTGTGGAAACCCAAATTAGCACCATGATTTTTTTTTGTATCAGCCACCCCTAGGATCAATCAATATCCATCATCTGACCGCTCAATCTTGATATGAAATCGGCACCCCAACTTTCCAGAAAATGTAAGAGGCCTCCTTTCCTTAGCGGGATTAGAATCAGGAGCCTTCAATTTTTTCTTCCTAACCATGAGTGCACTTCAAGTAACGTCGCTTACTATCTTCACTTGGATTTTTCGTTTGATGCCTTCACCAAATAAAACCCCAAACCCTTGGCAATCTCAGTAGCTGCTGCATATGCAAGCAAGTTTGTATCGTATTTCACATCATCGATGAAGTCCTTGTAGTAATCATTTTCATCCCCTCTGTAATCATCAATATCCGACAATGTTAGATCACATAATATAAGTAGTACTGTACAACTATGAAAAAAATTAACATTCTTTATTATTATAATACTATACATCTAATATAAGAATCAAATTCTACATTATGCATAACTATAATTTTCTAAGATAAAATTTTCAAATTACCTAACTACATCTAATGTAAGCATCATATTCTGCATTTTTCCTATTATTTATTTACGAACTATACATCTAATCTTAATTTTGTATGCAAAATCCTTCAATTTCACAAATAATTGTGCTCATAAATCTAAAAAAATAAACACTAAAATTCAAAAAATTATCTTTTGGACCGAACCAAGCTCGTAGCAAAAGAATAGATACCAAAAAACCCAAGAAAACAACAAAAATCCCTCAACCGAAGGCAATTTTCGGTTGTACCATGCACTGGCCGAATCCAATTTTTGGTTGTACCATGGACCAACCGAAAATCACCTTCGGTTGTCCCATGGTTTAACCGAAGATGGTTTTCGCTTGATCCATGGTACAATCGAAACTGATTTTCGGTTGATCAATGGCACAACCAAAAATTGGATTCGGTTGAACCATGGTCCAACCAAAAATTGGATTCCGTTGAGGGGTTTTGGGTTTTTTTGGATATTTATTCGGATTTCTACCTCGTCGTAGTCGCTACTCATGATTCAGACGTATTCTTGATGATTACGACTACAGAATGTCAACAATGAATTCGAGAGTTTGGGAGATTGAGTGTTCTTCGTTTTTTTAGTCAAAGTGATGTTTGTTTGCTAAAGGGAAGGTAAAGATGCCAAAAAGTTAAAAGTATAACTTTGTTGTTTTTTTTAGGACTATCATTAGTAATTTTAACGACGATCTTTATCAAGTCGCTAAAACATGCCTGTTAAATTCAAATTGCATCGTCATCATGCCTAACAATAGTTTCTCAAATGATAATTATCTATGTTACATAGACATTACATATCAACGCAACTACTGAGTCATGTCATAAACCGAGATTTAAGGTTTGTGAAATAGTAAGAAACCAAGGAACTATATATGCAATCAGATAGAAAAGGTAGCCTGTCATCTCAGCATTAGAAATCAAGAATAGAGAACATCTAATAACCATACAAGAAAAACCTTCCAATTTACCCGAAACATCCCCCTAGAAGGCTAACATTAGCTACGTCTAGCGGTAGCTTCTCATGGTGGCTACATCCACACCATTTACACATTTATTGATAGTTATTAGGGCTGGGCATGCGGGCGGATCATTCGCGGGTTTGGGCCGACCCACCCGCATTTGACCCAAATTTCGTTAAGTGGGTGGGTCTGTGGGTGGGTGACGGGTTTGCGCTGGGAGCCATCCGTCGGTGGTGGGTGGGTTGTGGGTGAGTGTGCGGGTGACCCGCTCAACCCAACAACAAAAAGATCAAAGTCGTTGGCGCTAGAGAGAGGAGAGTGGAGACGTTAGATATAAACTCGGACTGCTCCTGGAGTTTGAACCTCAAAGCCAACCTTCCAAATAGAGATCCTCTCTTCTTCCCTTTACTTTTTTCCTCTAATTCTTGTGCCTAGATCACCGCTCTTTGAGGCCGGTGATTGGAATCCCCCGCCATAATTAGGGACAGAGTCGCTTTAGGTAAGAGTTACACTGCTTCAAGATTTGGGTGTCCATGATTAAATTTGGTTTTCATTTGTTGCTACACGTGGGCCTGGGGGAGCTTATATATGATTTGGAAACCATTATATGTATCCATGGTAGTTGAGAGATCTAGACATATCTATAATTAAGAATCAAGGGTAGTGGGATCAGTAGGATTGCACATACTTGCGTACTAGGTTAACTGGTGGATTGCGATTTGTAGTGATTAAAATGCATGAGTTCGTGCGCGTATAGCTTGGGCTTGGAATGCAATGAATTTGGACGATGCGGATTGAGACAAGGAGACGCAGTTGTGAGTTGTGACAAGACTTCATGACTTTGGGTACCACGGTTCAATGAAGTGGCGGTCGATTTTTAATGTTGATTCATTCAAGTCCATCGACTTCAACAATAAGGTGAGTGTAAAAGGGGTAAAATCTCTGTCGAGATCTTTTAGTTTATGTCTTTTATTTCAGTTATGTTAGTTAATTTTCGAGTTAAGCGCGATAATGTGTGTGAGGCATCCCACCGCCTACTTAAGGCGGAGGCACGCGTTGTGCTATGTATGGGTATGAATGTGTATGGTTATGGGTATGATGAACCCCAGGGCGGTTGGGCTACTACTTGACGCGGTAGATGGTCGGATCACTGCTGGATGGCGAGATGTTACGCATCAGTTGATCGTGTATGTTGGGGTCACTACTGGACGGCGAGACGTAACGTAATAGTTGACTGGGCATGGACTGAACGGCGAGACGTAACGCAGTGCCATTGCCGAGTTTGGGTATACAACCAGACGACGAGATGTAATGCGGTTGGCATACTAGGGTAGGACGTCGGACGGCGAGACGTAACGCGATGGTCCCTAGTATTTATATGTTAGAGTTAAGAGTAGAAGTCGAGAACTTCTATGTGTTATGTCGGAATAAAGTGTAGGATAGAAGTAAATAACTTCCATAAGATAAGGTTAGGAGTAATGATATTCTATAAGTTATTGAGTAATCAATTAAAGTATTAGGAATGAAAGCGAGAACGGCTTTCATCTAAGAAAAGGAAACCCACTAATAATGTGTTAGTAAGGGTTTGCTTAGGGCAAGACCTTAGGAAGTAACGACGAGACTGACCCCTTCTCACTCACCAGGTTGAGGAAGGGTTAGCGACAGTGGTTTTCGAGAAGAGGCATGGACAAGGTCTCAGGGAGCTCAGCAGGAGTTAGAGTTAGAGTTTGTTTAGTATATATGTTTATAATTACGAGTATAACTGGAGGTTCAAAAGGGTTGAATTTTATTGACTGTGATTTGAGGTCGCCCATGTGTTTAGGGCATTGCATTTGAATTTCTTGTGGAAAATACTTGGAATTATTTGTTTTGTTGAGATTTTTGAACACTATTTCGGTCGGCTCCGGAGCCATGGTTATTTCAGTTTGCTTAAAAATATCGGCACGTTATACTCAGTGTGGACGGTGGGTAGTACCCATTGAAAGGAGCTATGTTCTTATATTCCCAAATATGATAGCCTAGATCGAGGAGACTGACATGGGCTTAGGGGAGGCGTACTCGGAGGCGTGTGGATAATCATGAAGGCCCACTGAAAAGAGCTCACTCACCACATTTCTTACTTGACAACCATAGCTTGGAAGATTTGACCCATGGAACCGTCTCATCTCTAGCGATCTCCCAACCACTAGGTTGGTTGTTTAGGAGTATGTTAGGTTAGATTCTTCACCAAACTTTTGATTCGATTAGATAGTAGTTCGGAGCGAAGTAATAGTAAGCTTAGGGTTCCCTTGGAGTATGACTCAGCCACTTTAGTACAACCCTATCTAGGTTATGCTTGGCTTAGTTAGGATTGAATAGAGAGTGTGCATCGACTTATAAATTTAAAGCTCGATCACGCAAGCGATCATTGACTCGAACCTAACTACGCTTCCCAACTAAGGGCCAAGAATACCCATCAATCGAGTTCAATATAGGATAAGTAAGTATAATTTTTCAACCTAGGCGCTAAGTCTACTACTACTCGGTGAACCAATCGTTATGTGCATAAAAGTATGTGGTTTTAGTTAAGCAACTAAAAAAAGCAAAGCAAAGAAAGAATTATTCGAATTGAATTAAGAGAAGATCACTTGGGTGTGCTTCTCTCTAGCCCTAAGTCTATGTTGACATAACCTAGCTTGCCCACTAAATATATATACCGCGGAGAGTTTTAAAGTAGCTTGGAATCCCTACTTGAGTTATCCTAGCGTGCTTAGATGAGCTACCCAGAGGAAGAGTTTCCACAACCGACATATAACACCTAAGGTGTGCAATTCGACCCCCTGAAAATGATCTCGATCCAATAAGGCATTGTAGACCAAATCACACTCTTTCAATTGACCTACAATGAAGAATTGAAGATGCTCTAATAAACTTAAGTAGATATTCTCTCTCTTAGGTCAATAGCTCAAATTGGACAGTGTGATCAATACTCGATAAGTTTCATGATAAATACATCAATTCAATATATAATAAGGAGTGTAACAAGCATAGGATTCATTGAACATCAAACCCTAACATACATGGTTAGAAATCTACACACCCAAGTGAGAAGGGAGTCTACTCCATTGCAGGAGAAAGAGATCCAAACACAAACTAAAGAAGATAAACAATCTTGTGGGGATGGATTATTGACTCGAGCTCCAATCTTCACTCGTAGGTGATTAATATTACCTCCAATTGAGGTTGGATGGTTTTAATCACTCTCTAAGGTTCCTCCCTCATCACTTTCTCTTCAAATATAACTTCTATCTAAAATTCGTTTCCCTTAAAAATGGCTTAAGATCTAATTTATATCAAGAATGTGCAAGTCACTATGTCATGTCACGGCCGTGACATTCGACAGTGAACTCTAACATAGACCATAAACGCAATGCAACGCATCACTTACACAAGTCATGGGTTCTTCTGTAAATGTCACGGTTGAAACCGTTACTTCTGTAATGCGCGCGACATGTGTTTTAGCATCAGGAACTTTGTGGAATCTCATGGACTCTTCTCATAAACTTTATTACAAGCATCTTCAAAACTTTTATGGAGAATGAAAATAGCCATCTAATACTGGAATATACTTTTTTTATCACAAAAGTAATCTACTGAAATTTTCTTACATAGCTGGTAGGGTGTTCCGCGAGTTGGCCATATCGAACCGCACTGGACCATATGGAACCATATATAAAGGGGTATGGTCCTTGGTCCCATGATTTTTATGAATAATGAGGAAAATGGACCGAATCAAAAATTTGGACCGAACCAAATAACACTAAATACCATATTAGTCCAGTCCTTGGTTGTAAGATGTCTTTCACTATTTGACCTCAGTTCTCATGAGTCATGAGTTTGATCCCGTCCAGACTAGACCATTACACACCCCTAATAATTGAGCATCTTGGCTTGCCAAGTTTATATTCAAGGAATGATTTTATCTACAAAGACCTGACAGTCTTATGATGAGAGGTTTCCTGAGGTCAATGTCATACCAAGATATTTTACTAGCAAAGATCTTATGGGGAACCCAATATACTATGAAATTTCCTACTTAACTTCCTCTGGGATTCCAACACGCAATGGTATTTGGACATGTTACACTTCAATTTAGAGATCATATAAAATTTATCCATGAACCTCTTAATACCACTTATTGATATAATAGATCCATTTGTAAAAGCAGTAAATCCTCATATTAATCTCTAATACTTTGCATCTAGGGTGATATAGAATATTAACATTGTAACTATGAACAAATAAGGGGAAGGTGGATCTCTCTGATGTAGCCATATCCCTAATGGGAAGTATCCACACATTCCTCCAATAAAAGATACACTCAATAAGGAGTGATAACACATGCTTCAACTAATTGAACAAACTCCATAGGGAATCTCATAGCTTTAAAACATTACACACAAAAGCATAGTCTACAGACTCAAATGTTCCAACAAATCAAGTTTTAGAAGAAGAAATTCCAATTTTATGATAGTCCTTTACCAAATCTATTGCCATTAGTATAATGTCACTTATCATCCTCCCTTTCTCAAAACAAGATTGAGCTCTACTTATTGCTTTTGGTAAAACCATAGCTAATATGTTGGCCACTAAAACTAGTCGGGTTCAACCAAAATTGATTATTCATTTTGGTTTTGCCTAAACAGTTATAGATGAGTTGACAATTAATTCTAATTCGACTTAATCAATCTAACAAACATTCTCTAGAATTTCTCTTAGATTCAAACCCATAGTTGCTAATAGAACTAGAATAAATATTTTCTGTTTCCTAGTAAGGAGGATAGATTGGGCAATTCTCCAATGTAGATCCAACTTTCTATTCCCTCTTGGGATCCGGGCAGTCTGGGATGGACCACCACGGCTCCTCTCTTCTGGAGAATCCATACATCCCTTATCACTGTATGGACTGCTATCTCTCGAGCACATGTTTAGGTTCGATCTCAATGGGAAAATAAAATGGAGCACCTAACAACGTATCTTCACATACCAAGAACTACAAGATCGCACCTTTCATTTGGGGAGATGGAGGAATCATACCATTCGAGACTTTTTTCTGCTTTTATTAGAGGTATGGAGAAAGCTGCAATCAATAGGGGTTTCCTAGCCATACCTCCTTTATCACTGAGCAATCATTTAGGGGCCTTAGCTGGTGATTCGGGCTATTTCTCTCTTGACAATGAAGCTTATCCCCCCATCGTCTCGGTAACTGACCTTAACCCCTGTTATTATGAGGTCATATCTAGTATTCAGAGTTTGTTTTGGTGCGGGCCGCGAGCGGGACAGAGAACCCGTCGTTGTCTAGGCTGTGCTACTAGGGGCTCTAGGGAAGTCGGAATAGGGGAGCACTCATCTTGGAGTGAGCTTACTACTTAGATACTTTTAGTAGTTATCTGCTTCGTACTTGGGTACCCAACATTTACCGTGGGCACGATAACTGGTACACTAGAGGTGCGTCCTTCCTGGTCCTCTCTTACTAGGGAAAGGTCCTCTCAATGCTCTAACGCCCACATCGGATATGGACCGAACTGTGTCACGATGTTCTGAACCCAACTCATGTACCGCTTTAATGGGCGACAACCCAACCCTTGGAACATACTAAAGCCCCAGGTGGCGAAGAGCCGTCATCGAGGTGCCAAACCTTCCCGTCGATGTGAGTTCTTGGGGAATATCAGCTTGTTATCCCTAGAGTAACTTTTATCCATTGAGCAATGGCCCTTCCACTAACCATTGGATCACTAAGGCCCACTTTCGTCCCTGCTCAACAGGTGGGTCTTGCCATCAAGCTCCATTACGCCTTTGCACTCGAGGGCCAATCTCCGTCCGGCTCGAGGAAACTTTTGCACTCCTCCGTTACCTTTTGAGAGACCTACACCATAGAAAATGTCTACTTGAGATTGTCCCTTGGCTAGTAGGTCCTGACAAAAGGTTAGAATTCTAGCTCTTCCAGAGCGGTATCTCACTGATAGCTCAGACCCCCCAGAAGGGGGCCTTTTGCGCCTTCCACCTAAGTTGCGCAGGAAAGGCCGAAAGCCAATCCCAGGGAACAGTGAAGCTTCATAGGGTCTTTTTTTCCAGGTTCAGGTAGTCTGCATCTTCACAAACATGTCTATGTCACCGAGCCTCTCTCCGAGACAGTGCCCAGATCGTTACGCCTTTCGTGCGGGTCGGAACTTACCCGACAAGGAATTTCGCTACCTTAGGACCGTTATAGTTACGCCCCTGTTACCTGAGGCTTCGGTCGCCGGCTCCCATGTTATAAGGTCACCAACTTTCTTGACCTTCCGACACTAGGAAGGCGTTAGCCCCCATACATGGTAATACGACTTTGCGGAGACATGTGGTTTTGGTAAACGGTCGCTCGAGCCTGGTCACTTCGACCCCCCTTTGTGAGGAGGAAACCATTCTCCCGAATTTACATGGGTATTTTGTAGAGTTCCTCAGAGAAAGTTGTCTCGCGCCTCTAGGTATTCTATACCTACCGACCTGTGTCAGTTTCATGTACAAGTACCCTTTGTTGAAGGTCGTTTGAGCTTTTCTTGGGATTATGGCATGGGTTACTTCAGCGTCGTAGTGCCTGGTACTCGAACATTGGCTCGAGCCATTTTCTCTACCCTAAGAGCAAGGACACCGTGCGTTCTTGAACCGATAACCATCTTTCAGCTAACCGAGCCTCCTCCGTCCCTCGGGACCAACAAGGGGTAGTACATGAATATTCACCTGTTGTTTATGGACGAACCTTGCGGAGGAACCCTTAGGTTTTCGGGGCATTGGATTCTCACCAATGTTTGCGTTACTCATTTTGTATCCATTTTTCATGATATTATGCATGTATCAGATATATCATGGCGAATTCTTCAGAAAAAATTGTGTCTTCCGCAATGGAATCTGATAGTGAGATTTCGAGTAAGTTTTACATAATCTGAAGAAATGATTCATCCAAATAATGAGCCACTACTGATATAGGAAATAACATAGTTGTATTTGATTCATGGGACAAAAAAGCCTACTGGTATCGGAAATAACATAGTTATATTTGATTCATGGGATAAAAAAGCCTATTATTTGATTTATAGTGCTAAAATGATAAGAAATAATAAAATGACATCCCCTTTTTCTTTCATTACACTCAATTGAATATATTTTTCCAAGAAAAGAAAACCCTTTCATTAGTATTAATTTTTAATAAAATTAATAAACGGAATTTTTATAATTTAAACATTTTTTATTCTTCATTACCCCCATAGAGATATTCCAGGGTTTAACCCTAGATAGGCGGTGGAAACTGCCAAGCTGGAGTACGATAGGGGCAGAGGGAATTTTCGGTGGGGGTTTCTGCCTTGTTATAAAAAAAGGGAGTTGGGTAAAATTGTAACACAATATTGTTCTGAACTCTTTCATTTTATCAACCACATGAATCTTAGGAATTAAAGTCGAGATGGTAGAGTTTACTTGTCTGGAAATAATCCCTGTTCTGAAAAAGTTCAACATTGAGTCTTCGACTTCCTTATGTATAACAGGTCACTCATTTTGTAGAACTCTGAGGCGAGTTGATCTGCGATGATACAAGTGGTAATCCTTGAAAATTTTGGGGTTCTATTCCACAGGGTCTTTTGATAATAACTACTCAAATCTAGCAACCAATGTTTGAATGAACGCAAAGGAAATTAAATATGATGGGTGGAAGTTCCCTAGTAGATGGTTGACACTATACTACTTAGTCTAGAGACTCGAAATTATAAAGTCAGAAAATCAAGAGAAAAGACATTGTTTAGGTTGCGTCATCTCATGCATACATTCTCATTAATAAGATGCACCTATATGTCAATCTATTATGATGCCCTATCCTATCGACTAAGGCCATCCTACTTGAGCTTTCCCCATTTGAAATAGGAAATATGACTAGCTAATGCATGATTTCACTTCATGCCTGATAACACCTAAATTGGTTTTATTTACTCTTCATATTGAGGTTTGTTTCATGCCAATTCATGTGTAACTGCTTGAACTTTGTCAATTGCATCCCTATTTCGTTCCTATTTAAATTCGATGTGATTTTAGGGTGTGTTAGACGATAATTGCGAATTAGATACAAAACAAGGTCACAAGTATATCAAGGGGATAGGAGACTGAAGATCGCGGCCTAGAAGAGAAGATCACGGCGGAGATCATGGACCATGAAGTCAAGCTGAAGATCGCAGCCCGGAAGCCCAAGATCGCGACCGCGAATTGGAGGTCTCAGGGAGCGAACTTCGCGAAGAAGGAGCCGAGCAGAAAAAGAAAGTTTCCGCAGTCGAATCACGACCATAGTGTATTTTGACCGCAAGGAAGATCGCGGATTGCGACCGCGAAATCAGCTCGTGATCTCCTCAATCCCAAAGGCCAATACGACTATGCTGTAAGACCCCGGCCTTGCCAGTGAAGATCCCGCCCGCGACCTCTCTTCTGTTGGCTGCAAACTTCTCCGTCCCTTGATTGCTCATAAATAGAAGACCCATTTACCCCATTTAGGGGAGTTGATTTTGAGAGAAGAATTTCTGATTTTAGAGGGAGAGAAGATAGAGACGCTTAAGGAAGGAGAAGAGGAGAAGAAGGGGAAGGAGCTAGAAGAAAAGAGGCATTTTCCTCAACCTCAAGTCTTCTTCAATTTATTCTATGTATCTTCTTCCCTCCTTTATAGAGTAGTCTTCTAAGGTACTAGGGGTTCTAAACCCCAAACCCTAATTTAAGGGTTTACTACGTATGTATGGATATTCTAGGGTTTGAATGAATGAATGTGTTTATCTAGTTGATTCTATTGCTATTCTATCATTGATTGTGTTTGGGTAACTCACCTTAATCTTCTCTATTAGCCTACTTTATGCTTCTACGCTGGGTATGGAGTTCTAGGGTTAGACGGGTATGCGTCATCCAGCAAATTGAGGTAGATGTGTGAATAGGGATTTATGGTGGTCGAGGTGACCAAACCCCTGCCATAGATAGCCTTCTTAGATAGAGCCTGGGATAGAACCTCAGTGTGGACGATGGATAATATACATTGAAGGTGACTTTATATGGATCTAGGGGAGGCGTACTCGGAGGTGTGTGGATAACCATGAAAACCCACGAAAACGAGCTCACTCACCACATTCGATAACCCTACGTATCTAGACATTGCATAGTAGCCCTAGGCTAGAGTGAGTTGAAGTTCCCCAAAGTACCTGCTTTTAGCTTTATTCAATCTTTAAATTAGTAATTAGCTCAAATCCTCCACTCAAACCTCCAAACCGATCAACTAAATAATGACGAGGTGGAAATTAGACTAGGGTACCAAGACCCGAGTAAAATATGACCTTGATTGCCACTATACGACAATGTCATCTTAGGTTAAACTTGGACTAGGATGGGGTAGTTGTTGACATGTGCTAACCACTGACAATAACCTGTGTGAATGAATGTGATCAATGCCACTAGACTAATCAATCAAAAAATGAAGTAAAGATAGGTCCTTGCTATTTAGGGCCTTTACGAGCCATAGAAATGGTCTATGTATTGATGATCTAAGTATAGAGTATCTATCTCATTCATGCATAAAGGGGTGTACCTTCCCTTCATACACACCTAAAATAGAGACTACACATCAGTTGGGTTTCCCGTACAACATATTACATTCTCGAATAACTAAAGTATAAGATGATACAATCATCAAATGAAAGTGGCATCTTATGATAGTATCATCTCATTAAATCATAAAACATATATGCATAACACATCAAAGAATTCAGAACACTAAATAGTGGTGAATTAGCACCCCCGTAACAGACAAGGAAGACATCACCATGGATGATGAAGGCATCCTCTCTTAACTCCAGCAGAACTTCACCTCCTTTTATAGATTGCTAACTCGTGTTCTCCATATGTCAGAGTGGATGTGTAAAAGTTCTTTAAAAGGTAGAGTTTAAACTCCTATTTATAGTACATGAGTTTTCTTGTTTTTTCCTCCTAATTAAAAGTCGGCCAAAAGCATCATTGGACTTGTGGGACTCGGATTTCTCAATTTGGGGCCGAAGTAAGCATCTTCTAGAAGCTTCCATGGGATTGATCCTAGCAACAGTCATGTGACTGTGGGGTCCACCGTCTATTTTATTCACGGGCTAGGTTGCTTGTGGGCCATGCAAACTCTCCTCCAAATTTGGGCGCGACTTCATTGGTTATGACCCACTTTGACCTTCATCCATGGTAAACCTACTACATTATCGGATATGCTTCTTTGGATTAAGAAGTGAGTATCTCATGTCTAAATCCATTTCTATTTGAGGAGCCCAGGAGCTTTTAATCTCGTCTTGAGTGTATTAAAATCCTTAAAATGCATAAAAACAACACAAAAAGGCTTAAAATAGTACAAAAGCACACTCAAGGTCTATCTTAAGCACAGAGATAAAATAGTTACAATATTTATATGAAATCAAGTTAAAATATACTAAAGATATCTTGATAAAAAGGGTGAAATGTATCAAATATGAGAGTGATAAATACTATAAATTGACTGTTATAAAAAATACCACACACTTGAACTTTGCTTGTCCCCAAGTAGAGGTGGCAATTGGATCGGATTCGTGGATTGGATTGGTGGATCCATGGATCAAATGGATTGGATCCAATGGATTGGTGGATTCATGGATTGGATCAAATGGATTGGTGGATTGATCCATGAATCCAAATGACATCCAAGGCTTGGACCAAAATGTAAAATTTGAAAAGTTTTGGTACTAAAATGTCATAATGAAAAATTTTAGGTACTAAAATGTAATTTTCCAATGATATTTTTCGTATAAAAATATAAATTTTAGGTACCAAAATGTAAAATATAAAAATATAGGTACGAAATCGTAATTTGCCATTTGGATCCATGGATTGATCCATGAATCCACCAATCCAATTGGATTTGGATCAAATGGATTGGATTTAAATGGATTGGATTAGGTGGATAATTTAGTGGATGGATTGGATTGGATTCATGGATTTGGATCCTAATTGCCACCTCTATCCCCAAGCAAAACGACAATAGTTCAACAGTTGTACTTGGAGAAGCAAAATTACCTACACGGGTTCCAATCTTGGCTTGGTAGATTTCACTATCCAGATCTTGTTTCAGTAAATATGATACGATTTTCACGTTATAACAAATACTTGATTTATGTTCTTACAAACCAAACATTATATTTCAACATTATGCACATTCTTGCAATCTCATTAAACAAAACACATTATTTATACAGATCCATTTATTCCACGATACAAGCTAAGCATTTTGGAAGGGTCAGATTATGTACAAGCTAGCTCTAGTTAGTAAGACAAATGGGGTTTAAATCCAAAGGCCTATTTCTGAGCAGAAACAATCCATCATAGTTCACTTAGCAGCCACATACAGAAACAATTCATCATAGTTCAACTCCAGCTCAGTCATCTTCATCATCGACAGCATCGCCATTAAGATCAGAAGAATCGCTGTTGGCATCAGATTCCAGGTGGCGAAGCTGATTAATTGCATCACTTACATCAAAAGATAGAGCATTTTTAGCAGCTCTAATGACATCGACGTTCTGTAGAATGTTTGTCTGCCCCACAGCATTCTCTTTTCCTTTTTTTGCTGTGGATTTTCCCAAACGGGAAGCTGCTGCTTTCCGCTTTGCTTCTCTGCAATGCAATCGGTCGATATACTTCTCATGCAAGAACCTGTCTTTGACCTGCTTCAGAACTAGAGGGCTAACAATATCCGGCTGACATGAGTTGCTGAATCTCGAAAGAGGTTTTTTCTTATGTCCAGAGGAAGATCTCCCCGATGAGTTTTCAAGAGATAGCATCTGCTTCTGCTGCAAAGTCTTCGGAGTAGACGGCAGGAGGTTGAGATCAGAATCTTGAGCAGATGGATTCATGTCTGGTTCTAGAATGGAGAATAAATCTGCTTCGTGATTCTGATCCCTGTGGTTATGCTTTTGCAGCAACTGTCTCACTGTTTTCTGAGCAATATGATGCTTCTGCCTAGTGCTGCACCTCTTAGTCTTCTGTCCACAGGAATCTAGTATTTTGCAAGCCGAGAGTTGAAGAGATCCAATAGGAGAAGAAGTCGATACTTTTGCCCTCGATCGACGTGTAGGTTG